GTAACAGGAATTAAATGTTCAACAAAATTCCAAGCGTTAAAGCGAACATATAAGTCAGTTATCGATCACAATAAAAAAAGTGGTAATAACCGTCAGGAATGGGAATATTTCAAGGTAATAAATATATATACTTTAAATTTTGATTCTCTTATTATAAAAAATATTTGTATAAAAATTAATGCATGTTATATAAACGCTTTTATATAAAAACGTACATAGTTGTTTACACATTTAAACATGATATATTTACACATATATATTTCTGTTATAATAATTATATTTTTCTTTTACAGATCATGCAGGATTTATTTTCCGAAAAACCATGGGTACAAGCAATATCAGAGGCAGGATCACATGTGACAAAAGATCCTATTGACGAAATTATGCTAATGGGAGAAGAAACGGATAGAGAAAATATATTATCAGCAAAACGTAACATAGACCACATGTTATATATAACATGTATAATAGATATAATAAATTATTACATTATAATATTGAGATATAATAGTGCTGTAGATATCAACTTAAGTATATTATAAAATAACAGTTTATATTATATTTATTTTAGGTGCAAAGAAAAAAAAATTTAATATAATTATAGAAGATTATTTATTGCGCAGTATAGAAGAAAGAAAAATAAGGAGAGATGCAGCAAAAGAAACACGAAGAAAAAATGGATGCACTAAAACGTATAGAAAATATAGTGGAAAAAGTATTGAGAAAAGACGGATAAGATACTTTTTAGTAGTTTCCTACTTCAATGTTCGGTTTCAGTTCAGTTTATTTTGTTTTTAAATTGTATTTTATTAGTAATTTTGTTTTTATGCACATTTTTTTGCAATTTTGACTGATGTAACGTGCAGTATTAATATAAGATGTTAATTTAAGTTCAGTTCATTTTGTTTTTCAATTGTATTTGATTAGTAATTTTGTTTTTATGCAATTTTTGTTTGCAATTTTGACTGATGTAACGTGCAGTATTAATAATATAAGATGTTAATTGAAGATGTTAAATATTATTAATATACCCACTGTACAAATAGTAAATGTTACATATTAGATACGTAACAGATATGTTTAATGTCCTATTCAGAAACATTTCTTCTACATAATAGCTCAGAAATGTAGCAGAAATATTTCTGCAACATTTCGGAGAAAATGTATGTAGAAGAAGCGTTTCTGAATAGGACATTAAATATGTTATGTATCTAATATGTAACGTTTACTATTTGCATAGTGGGTATGGTTTACTTAATAATATAAGGTAATAGTAATGGAGGGAAAGTCAGTACAAAGTAATACGTTTCTGTAGTTTGTAATTTGATATACGTACAGTATTAATATTGTACAGTAATAATATAACATATTATGTTTGTTACAAATTTCTAAATATATAAAATAAAAGTTTTTATAATTATATAGAATGTTTTTTCATAACATCAGTCATGTTATTTAACTTATATATATCGCAATATTTACGTTAATTAGCATTTTGCGATAAAGAATACATGATTGCATTTCTTTTATCGTTACCTTCGTCTCCTACATCTTGAAATGTTACTTGTATGTTATTTGTTGTACTAACAATAAGAGGCACATCTATAATATCATTTCGTAATAAACAAATATTATGCAAAATACAGCAGGCTATAATATACTTGGGTATTAAATCCGTTCTTAGCATCGCAAGATTGTCTAAGAGACTTCGAAAACGACCTTTAAGCAATCCTAATGATCTTTCAACGATCATTCTGGCACTAGAGTGACATTTATTAAATTTTGCTTGTCTTTCAGATAAATTACCATAATCCTTAAATGGAACCATTACATATTTTAAGAGACGATATGCTGCATCGCCCAAAATGTGACTATCGTTTGGAAAATTTTCTTGCGTGAACATATTTTCGATGTTTGACAATCTGAAGACACGCATGTCATGTACCGAGCCCACTTGACCCGTATAACAATGTATAAATCTTAATTTTTCATCACAAACTACCTACAACATAATTAAATTTATTTAATAAAACAATTTATTTAATTAAACAATAATAATATAAATCTTTCAATATTAAAATTGAAAGATATTAAAACTAAAAAATATACATGCATATGAGATTAAATTCAATAAATAATATTTGTAAATATATATTAACAAATAATTGTATATACAAGATGTCTGGTAATTTGTGCTCACTATTTGTACAGTATTATTTTTGATAAAATAAACTGATTCTTTTATTTACATATATAACAATTTATAGCAGTAAATATATTAAAAAATTAATGTTTATTTCAATATTATAAAATATAAATATAGAAGTATATATAGTATTATATAATAACTTACTTGTAGCTGAGTGGAATGAAACCCTTTTCTGTTTATATAACAATCACTATGATCTCTTGGGGCAGTAATTTTTATGTGTTCCATCTATTGCATCTATGACTCCTGGAAAATTATATCTTTGTTGTATTGCTGTTATGGTTTCTTGTGCTTCATTCCTAGTTGGCCAACGAATAAATGTTGCTACTTTCTCGTATAACGCATTTACAACTCTTTGTACACTTCGCCATGCTGTAGCTTTACCAACATTGAATCTATCTGAAACACATCTAGATAACTTTTTATTAAATATTTTTCATATTAATTTAAAATTTTAATTTGATTTCAATGTATATAACTTATACATTACTATTATACTATTCTTTATATCATTACGAGTGCTAATTATTACCTGTAGGAATTTGGAGTAGCCATAATCCAGATAGCTATAAGTAGTTGTTTTTTAGTTGATATTGTATTTCTGCCATATGTTATTTCGTTTACTTAATTTAGGATTTAATAATTCAAATAAAAATTGAAAAGTACTTCGTTTAAGTCTGAAACAATAAATTCCATTTTCTTGATATTACTTTTTTTTTT